ATCGCCTTCCGCCCCTTTGGAAGCTCAACAAGCTCCCATGTATCGTTCTTGTGAAGAAACTTTATCTCCTCCTGTATAGCTACTTGTCACGAATCAGCCTCCGAACTCTGCTTGGCCTCTCTGAATGTAGTAGGCACCAACTCATCGATACTCTCGGAAGTGCATATGTAACTACTATGTCGGTATACCATACTGGCATCCATATGTCTCTCCTCTGTCTTTGAACAGTAATAGAATCCTAAACCTAACCCGTCGGTCCCTAATTCTGCAAATTTATACCCGTATCCTCCTCCTCGTCGTTGTGCTCGCCTGACGTCACCTTAGTTGGCACTCTAATGGATATTGTACTATCTGGACAATATGGAGCTGCATCGATCTCCATCACCTGTGATATCTCCTTCGTCGGGTCGCTCTCCACCTAATAAGAACTGGGAAGCTTCAAGATAGATGCCTCATCGAACATGACGTCTCTACTCAGCACAATCTTCCTATCAACTGGATCTCATAGCTTGTATACCTTGACACCACGCTTGAATCTACAAATATGGTCTTTCTAGCTCGAGGTTTCAACTTATCAGTCTTAATATGATAATATGTAGGGCACCCAAACACCTTGAGTTGGTCATAGTCGTGTGTTGGCTCTCCCGACCACATCTCCATATGGGTCTTTTCCTCAATCGCAGATGAAGGCAGTCTGTTAATGAGGTGGCTCGCATATGAAAGTGTCTCAGCCCAAAAGATCTTCTCCAAACTACTATGCGCCAACAAACATCGGATCTTCTCCAGCAAAGACCGATTTAACCTCTCTGCCACCCCATTTTGCTACAGTGTATGACTAACTGTGAAGTATCTCTCTATGCTCTCGTCTCAACATAGCTGCTGAAAGGGCCTGATGTGTACTCACCACCGTTGTTGGATCACAATATTTTGATCTTTCTCCCAGTCTACAGTTCCAACCTCTTCTTCCGCTCTATAAATATATCTAGGACTTCACTCTTCTTTGTCATGGTGTACACCCAACAACACCTAGAATAATCATCAACGAACGTGGCGAACCAATGCCGACCACCAAGTGATGCAGTCTTGGTGAGACCCCAAACATATGTGTGCACGTAATCCAGGTTGCCCCTAGTTCTATGAATGATAGTCCCGAACTTCACCTTCGTCTTCTTGCCAAGTACACAGTGCTCACAGAACTCAACCTTTCCACTCTTTGCTCCCTTCAATAGTCCCTGCTTGCACAATGCCTACAATAACTTCTCTCCTGTGTGCCTCAACCTGTAGTGTCAAAGTCTGCTCATGTCCACCTCTGAAATAGCTGAAGCTACTTGGCCAATCTCAGTCCTCCCCTTCAGATAATATAAGTTCCGACTGTGGACTCCCTTCATCACCACCAAAGATCCATTAGTAACCTTTGCTACAGCATCCTCAAAGGTCACCTTGAATCCCTTCGCTTCCAAAGCTCTAACTGAGATAAGATTCTTCTTTAGTTAAAAAACAAATCTTACCTCCTTAAATTCACGGACTACTCCATCGTGCATCCGAATCCTCACAGTATCTATCCCACAAATGCTACATGATTGATCATTTTTCATGACGACAACACCTCCATCGAGTCTCTCAAATGATGCAAACCAATATCGCCTAGGAGTAACATGATAAGTAGTGCCAGAATCAAGCATCCAATCTGATGTATCTAAGTGGTTCACCTCCGGAGTAATCAGTAGAGAAAAGCTTAAATTATCTGAATCATCGCCTCTCGCAACGTTCACTTTATTGGCCTTCTGGCCCTCTTTCTTGTCATTCTCCTTCTTCTTAAGCTTTGGATAGTCTCTCTTCCAATGTCCCTGCTCCTTACAAAATGCACATTGGTTCTTTGCTAACTGGTGATGGCCTCTCGACTTTGACATGCCTTTATTATCACCTCTCGGATATGGGCTTCTACCTCTCGTCGATAAGGCCTATCTTGAAGTACTAGCGCAGGAAGTCTCATTGTCCTTCCTCCTCAAATCATAGTTCGTCAAAGCGTTAGTTACTTCACTATAGCTGATAGAAGATCTTCTATTCAACAAAGTAAACACAATGTATCATACTCCTCATCTGATAAGGAGCCCAACAAAATAGTCGCATTGAGCTCATCTGATATCTTCTCATCAACATTCGCTAAGTCCGATAATAACTTCGTGTAGTTGTTCACATGAACTGCTAGTGAGGTGCCATTGCATATCTGAAATCTAAATAATCTACGCAGCAAGTGCAATCTGTTCTCAACATTCTTCGTAAGGTACTTGTTATTGAGAATTTCTAACATTTTCATTGCAGACGTCACCCCAATTACATTATGTTTCTGCTCCTGTTCCAAACATGACCTGATTACCCTACAAGCGTTCCTATTCATCTTTTCTCATACCGCCTCTTCATATTTTGGTGGCCTCTCATGGACCATGATGATCTCCTCCAAATTCTGACCATTGAGCGTATCTTGTACGTCGCTCATCTACAAACAAAAATTGATCTTGTCGTCATATTTAACCATACTAATTTTAGTGTTCTAAAAACCAATTTGAACTGTACCTGTCATCTTGTCGTTTTCACCAACTTCTTCACCCATACTCACAAACTTCAAATTATAAAGAAAAATTCAAACTTGATAGAATTTAAAAGTTACCTAACTGAACCCTAGAACAGATTCTAAAATAGATCTCCTAATCACACGAGCAAAGCGAAATCTTCAACGGCAACCCTAAACACTATTTCCACCGAAGCCTAGAACTTCAAGAACCAAGCTTCCACGACGAATCTTCCTCCACCTAATACCAAAACCCTAGATCTGAAATCTGAGCTCTGATATCAATTGTTGCGCGACTTTGCGGAAACGTGCTCGACAACCAAACGAGTCCGCGATTCACGAGAGAATATAACCAAACCAATCACGAGCACAATACAATCCAAAATACGACAAATCAAACCAAACACAGAGATATACGTGGTTCGACAATTTGCTTACGTCCACGGGGAGAGGATAGAGAGATTCCACTAAATCAAGGAGAGTACAAAGGGTTACAATCTCACAAAATCACTCAAATAAACCCTAAACCAAATCTCTCAACTTGCTTACAAGCTCTCTCTCTCAATATGCTCAGTACAATCTCAAATCTCTGATTAGAAACCCTAGAAAATCGTGTTTTAATATATACCAAAACACAATCCCAAAGCAAATAGGAAACAAAAGCCCAAGGCCCAGCTCGACACGCGGTCGACCGCAGGGAAAGTCGCGGTCGACCGAAACCAACGACAGAAACTAAAAAACGACTACAGGGTTTGGCAGTCGATCGCACATGTTGCCGCGGTCGACCGTCAAAAGTTCAGAGGCCTTCCCTGAATCTATGCATGTTTCCAGTCGACTGCACATGTTGCCGCAGTCGAACAGACAGAACCAAAATCTGTCCTATGTGATTTCCTATAATTTGACTGTCTCTTCAAAAGCGACTATATTATTTTGGGAGGATTTTCGAGGCAGCGAAATGGAGACTTTAGGGTAATTAAGTTCGAATCTGATCAAGTTGCGTATATTATGCGCCCACATAATTTTATTATATGAGTGCATAATGTTTAACCGTTCGATTATGCGGTTTGACCACATAATCAAACGGCTTTCAGCTACCCAACATATTTTGGTATCGAGTAGGAGCACTCAGGCCAGTCTTGAGCTGGGTAGAGCGTGTTTTTAAACACTAACCACAATATATCGAAACGATATATGATTGAAAGTCGAGGGAGATTTTGAGACGAATGTTTAGCGTCTGTTAGTGGGCAGGTGGATGGATATAATTAGTTCAAGCACTAGTTCTTTTTCAGCCTTACTTTTATTTCCTGATATTAGCTCCTGTTCGTCTGCTACTTTTGTACCTGGTGATTAGGTGCGGAAACGAATCAGATATTTAACAAATAGTTTAGTATTTATTGGCCTAAGTATTTGGTCATATTTGATTCGATAGTTTATTTAATAATAAACGAATAGTTTTTATTATTCGGTTCATAAACGAACAGAATTTAACTATATGTATATTAGATTCGTTTGTTTAATGAACCATTCGTTTATACAGTATAGTCTTTAAAATTTCATTTTGCTGCTTGTAAATGTGGATAAATATTTTTTTGTTTCTGAACATTATATATCACTAGGTTGCATATTCATCAAGGTATATCATGTTTGGCTCTATTGCAAGATTAGGATAACAAATATTTGTCGAATATCTAATAAGCATGGACCGAATAATTTGTAAATATTACCCAAACAATGTTAATGAATATTCGCGAATAGTTATCTAATATTCGAATAGCACCCGAATCGAATTCGAATACGGATTTCCTATTCGTTTCAGGTTCACATGCGAATTCAAATAGTCAAATAGGAGCCGAATACAAAAACGAATAATGGGTATTCAATTTGAATTCGGTTCTTTTCCACCCCTACTGGTAATACTCTCTTGAATACCCAGTAAATCCTTATTCATGGGAAACGGGAAACGGGAAGTAGTTATTCACCACTTTCAATTAGTTATATAAACAAGGGAACGCAACATGGCCCATATTTGACAACCCACGCTCACAAGAAAGCATCCTGTCATTTCCTCAGTGGTATGTCTCTCTGTGGTGATGATCCATGTATAAAAGGGCGGATTCATTGATGCAACATCATGAGATAAAGATATTACAACCAACTAATTATCATACCTTTGATGAGATGACCTTAAGACAACTGATCAACATGATACCACCCCTGAACATAACAACGTCCGCTTGCGTGGTGAGCACATCTTTTCATTTCGAATATAAATCTCTAAGTTGCTCCCAGTGGCAATTTGATATGTCTAAATTGCTCCCTACTCTCACTATGAATGGTTCGGAGTATCCTGCTTGTATAAAAGTTGTTTTGATAAATTTTGTAATCATTTCTTCGACGTAGGGCACTAAACCAATAGCTGGAGGACACTACAGACAAAATGGAAAGGAGGAACAACCTCGGATCCACTTATCTTAATTTAATGTTCTTTAAATAAAGTTCTCTCTCCCTAGAATTTCCAAGAAGCAAACAGGGGCCAAATGCTATTATCTCTATGGTACAATGAACATTTCGTACATAACAGTCCTGAGGACAAAAAGAAACCTCTTTTAACTCTTTTAAGTCGGATAAAGCTGGTAGGTGTTCTCACGTAATCCTCACTCACTGTGTTAAGAAACGCCAACCCCTTCGAGTTCCACTTGAGCCACTGCAGTGCTGATCGCATCGACTACCTCCATTTTCCCTCTATTCACTGCTTCATCCATTGGGCTTCGCTCATAGCTACACAACAAGTTAAGAATCCAAGTTTTGAAAATGTCAAAACTATCAAGCCAAATGAACAATTTCATATTTAACCAAAAGAAATGTGATCGAAGTTACCTGTTCAGCGCACTTACAGTAGCTCGTGCCAGGATCAAAGCCTTCACTACCTGAAAGTGTTCTCTTTCTCATATCAGTGATCATACAGAGCAAATAAATTAAAACCAAAATGTAAGCACCCTATTCACCTCAATATGACCATTGAGGCACGCCCAATGAAGGGGAGTATTCCTTTCTGCATTTGACACATTGACATCCTGCACCAATCACAGATACAAGGATTATTACATGCTATCAAAAGCAAGCCTTGAAAATAGTCAGCTAAAGCCAGCAGACGCGTCATCAAAAATAAATCTTCAGAACCTTCATCACCATTTTCCCAGCTTATAGGTCCATTATAAACCTTTAGTCTAGACTTCTTAAAATTTTCTGTCCTGAGAAAATGATTGCTCCCATATGGCATTGGAGCACCGTCATAATGCTAAATATGCTCACTTGGAACTTTTTTAATTCATTTATAAAGACAAACTATAAGTTTGAAACTTCATGTCATGACAATGGTCATCATTTTACATCAAATAGGAAGAAGCTTTGGCGTATCTTTTAAGTATTAGTAAGGGCACATTAGCTGCTTAGCATTATGGAAAACAATCAGAAGTAACATCTCTTTCTACTATTTAACCAAATTTCAATCATTTTCCCCCTTCCAGCCAGATGTATCAACTGCTAACACTCGTTTGACTTGTCTTTTCCTTTCATTCTTTTCACTGGTCAAAAATTCAACTACTTTGAATCGTTCCAGACACTGATTAACCTGCTCAATCTCCTATCTGCACTAGCTCGACAGCTGATTAAATTGGGCCTTGAATTTGCCAACTAGTCCAAACAATTAAGTGTTTATTTCAATTATTTAATGGCTATGATTAGGGTCTTTCTAGGGTTTAAGATGTTGTTTATTTCTCATCTAAACTTGAAGGAACTGAGATGTATTCATAAGGAGTCTCATATATACACAGTTGAATTCTCATTTCTCTAGTTGAACTGAACATATCCACAAAAGAGTTTTCAAGTGATTTCCTAAAAAAAAGTCCGGAAATAGGTTTCCTAAAACTAAAGTCAAATCAGCCAATGGGAGGGTAGCGCATCATCCTCCCTCCTAATTTCAAAGTGGTAACCAAACAAGAAAAAGCAAAACATTATATGAAAGGTGTTTCCTATAATGCACTTTCTTGTTTTTCCCCCCTTGACCAACCAAAAAGGGCCCAAGTATCAGTCCGTTTATAAAATCAGCGATTGAACAAACAATGAGCAAGATGTATTAACCATGTAGAAACATAAGATATATAAGTGTGAGAAGGCCTATGTACAACACTCCTGAAATCCCGTGAAACTTACCTTTTCTATGGGTTTTTCACGAGGGTATAGACATTTGTGAAGCCAATTGTTCTAGCAAATCTAACTACTGACCACAATCTATACAGCAGAGCTTCTGGGACTTGTCTGGACATTTAATTTAAGTACATGATTACCATAATACATTCTACAAATGAAAATCTTCTTAAGTATGCTACTATAAAGAAAATGTTCTGTGATAAAATATCATTGTGTCATGATTATGCTTGAGATAAACTACAAAATGCATCTACATATTACAATCCAATAAGGAAAAGTCATTTAAAAGTTTTGAACTAAGGAGTGCTAAGTAATCATTTAATTGTTTAAAACTTCATTCTTTCGTTTGCTCATAAAAGAATCTCTACTGAGAACTATCCAACAATCACATGCTGTTGTACTTCCAGATGCGTGGTATTGTACTTAGAATTGCATGGAACTGTACTGTATGTGTGTAATCTAACAAATCTAACAAAGGAATCAACCGCAATACAGTTTAGATATGAACTCTTTGACAAAATGTTCCATAGGAACGTCTACATAACAGAATATACTGAAAGTTATCTTTGACAAAGCCAAATCTGATAACTTGTCCCTTAACCGTTCACGCTAAGATCAGAAAGATATAGTAGCCACCTGAATTCATCTCTTTTTTTATAGAACTCTCTGATGCCAAAATATTCTGAAAATTTTCTTACCACACCATTCTGGATGAGATATTGCACAATGTCAAGGTGCCCATTAGCAGAAGCCATATGAAGTGCTGAAAGTGTAAAGGAAGAAGATAAACAAAAGTGATCCACATTAGAGCGAGATAGCAAAAAATCAATAGAAAAACAAATTAATAATTTGCAAAAGTCAAGCTGAGAATAGCAGAGGAAGGTTTGAAACATTTGAAAGACTCGTTAAGACTCAAATAATATAGAAGAAGGAACAGAAGCATATTATAATCATATGACCAAAACATTAAATACTCATCCTAGTAATGGGACAGAAACTATGTGATAGCAAATTGCTAACTGATTTCCATACAGATAGAAGGCTATTGTAAATTGAGTGGGAAAGAGAACTGCACAAAGAACCATGCCAATCTTTCATGTATTGGGCCTGCCACATCTAAAACTTATCATTCAACCTACCGACTGCGTTATCCTACCTGACATTCCACTTCAGTGATACAACTTCAGATTTCTTGAAATAAGTCAGTTCTCTCCAAACTGGCTGTAACCATCACATATATCTGAAACAATTGGAGAATATTTAGGTTTACTTATTTTAATATTTGTTTTGACTTATGGAATATCTTAAATCTATTGAGGTTACTATCTTGCTTCAACTTAGTTTAAAATAGGTTACTATCTCGCTTCAACTTAGTTATCTTATTATAACTTGAATAACTCTACCTCTGTTTTCCTGATCCAGTATCCCCATCTTCCTATGCCTAGCAGAATGAGCTACATGCCTATATATGCTAACAATAAAATATTAGTGGAGCTAACTCTGATATTTGTACAAGCACATAGCAAGTGATCCAAATTCAGTTCCCAAAGTTCACAAGTATGCGGATGCCATGTCCTTCATACAAAAGCCTGTCATCCAATAAAGTCTCTCCATGCAACTGAAAGAAAATTCTTCAACTAACAATCATAGTGAGCTTGTCCTATTTTTAGGGGAAATGGAGAGGGAAAAAAGCCCTTTTAAGCTAGCATTGCCAGTTAAATCATAAACCTGAGTGTTCGCCTAAGAATTACAAGTATCATAAGTGTGTTGTTTTCATTATTTGTTAAATAATGTAGGACAAATAGAAAGAGGGGAAACTCCGCTCTATTTCTTATATTGATCAAGAGATAAAAACAATTATCAGTAGGCTACATGGCAACCTAATTATGGAAGGACAAATATAATCATAATATATTCTACCATATGTGTGCATTCCCATTATATGAAATATAACTAATCTAATTCCAACTATGTCTTCCTCCTTGCACTAATAACCAACACATTTTGCACATGTGTGATGCCATGACTTGTTTCCTCATATAATCCAAGATTGCCAAATGAGGATTTCCTCAACAATATTTAATGACCGGTGTATGACCATTAAGAAGATACTCTCAACTTCCCCATTAGCATAAACGCTTACATTTGCAATTATAAGTTTGTGGAATATATATATTTTTAATGAAGTAAAATCTATGTGACAATATATAATTGACAATTACATAAGCTAAAACTTATGAAAGGAATAAGGTTCGAAGATCAGAACCTGTTCGGCCTTGGGAATCTTTAGAATCAAGAGAAACACCCATGGAGAATAGGCTTATGACATCGTCAATGTCACCATACCTAGCTGCCTGTTGCAGAATGAAATAGTAAATAAACTACAGCTATACAATTAAGCTCAAGTTGTAGTCTGTTAAATTCAGACAGAAAAAACAACCACAACAGATAACATAGTTTTGTGTTACATGATGTTCCTTTGACTAAAATTAGTGGCCTCCACTACCGATATAATTATGCTGTAGCCCTGTATTTGCATTAATGGTAACTGATCAAAATTAACCAAGAAAAGAAATCAAAGAAGAAACAAATTGGAAAGTTCTAAACATGGTGAGAATAAAGAAGCAATAATAACAAAGAAGAAACATGAATGGAGATGAAAACAAAATAGACACACGTAAACCAAAGGTCAACATTCTTAACTCCAAATGGAATCCACACCTATTAATTTTCCTCCTAACATCTCTAGGACCAATTTTTCTTATGCCTGGACCTCATCAGGCTTCTACAGACAAAAGGAGACAAAATAGGGAGAATTCTTTGTTATGATTATTTTCATCTGTGTTATACAACATCATTAACTCATCTCCAAGACCGTAACCTCATCCTCTTTTGCATCAGCATTCCACAATATTAAAGAAATCAAGATCCTTTTGAAATGCAAATGACCTGCATCAAGCTAATTTGGTTAGTTAAACTATTCAATGCAGTCTTTGAAAGTCATCTTCACTGGTATCCTTGCCATTATCAGATGTTGACAAAGGCTATAAAGATTTCAAACAAGTGCAAATAGATTCAAAAAAGCATTGGGAAGAATACATCCAAGTCTGCAAATTGGTTAAAGGAGCCTCACTTCTAAAGCAAGTTGATAAAAGTTGGGAAATACTACAATGCCCATTGAAGACATGGTCAATGAACTCAATGAATATCAATCTTCTAACCAATAATGAAAAAGACAATAACATCGAAATTTTATGTGAAATTTCTATCCTCAAGCATTTTAGGATAGGTCGTAGCTGGTGAAGATAACAACGCCTTGATCGACTCGTAGTGCTTCCCCTAGGCACTTGTCCGTTTACCCAACAGAGTCAAACACGAGTATTCTAACTTGTGTGAAACATCTGTTCTACCTTGTTCATAATCGGTCGTCCAATAAAACTTCATATAGTATAGCAAGAACTTCTGAAATAATAATAACCTTTTGAACTATATTAATGTCTAAATCTCATAGGAGTTAGGACACATATCGCAGTTGTGTGCTTGGCTCAAGACATTGGCCAAACCTACATAACATGGGTTTTGAGTAAGCTCAGGTCCAATTTATTTGCTGCAGAGTAGCGTAACAACTGAGAAGGGTGTAAACAAAAATATGAAATAATGAGATTCAGTCATTAGTACAAGTAAGACTAAGCTCTAGTTTTTGGAAAGTCAGCGTTTGGCGCAGCATCAAGGCGATCGACATGCTAAGATTGAGCACAAATGGTAAATGGATCCAAGCATAAAAGGGCATGGCAGCTGGGGAAGTGCGTTCAATAATTTTAGCATTTATTTCCAAGCGTTGTTATAAAACCCTAGAAATTTCATATCAAACATAAAATTCAATAATTAAGAAAAAAAAAGGATTGACACGCTCCTATTTTACTTTCATAATATCGTTCTTATAAGTTTCGTTTATGGACGGCATCAATTCAACCCTAGCAGACCACGTGTTCGATGAAATGTCTCAGATAAATATTCAACAGAAACAAAGAGAAATAAAAAGAAAATTGGGAGAGAGATGAGAACCTCGAGCAGCTCTTGGATTTGGTCGGCGGTCGTCGCCGTGGGAACTGCTTGCCGAGTTTCGCTGGAGTTCGATTCCACTCCCATGGCTTCCCAATTTTTTTTTAAAAAGTGAATAAAAATGGTAAACCAAAAAAACGCCAATTTTAAGGGGAGACGAGATTTGATGGGCCTTTTAATCGCCGGTGTGGGCTGATCTGTTATTTAGATATTAGGCCCCGTTTGTTTTGAGTTTTTTGCCTCGGGGAGGGGGTGGAAAGCTGCCATTGTGGCAGCTTTCTCCCCAAAACGCCTCTTTAAGACCATCTTCAATGGCAAGGCAAAAATTGCCTTTCTCTCTCCTTCTACCTCACTTTATTCTCCCTCCACATCACTTGCCTTTTTCAATTGCCTTTCAATTCCACAACAACTAATTTTTCAAAAAGTTATTCATTTTATCTTTCCTCCACATCACTCAATCATGATAATTAAGTAAAAAATTAAGTTTTATTTGCTTTGTCCAAATAACACAAACTCAAGCTCTATTAATAGATCTTGAAAAATAATAAATAGTGGTGAAAAAATTAAAAATTAATTTCGAGTAATTATTGATCAAAGCAGTCATTTAAAAACAAGGTGAGAATAATTGTAAAAACTTTATGACACGCGGGGCCCAACAAGAAATTTAACACAAAGGTAAAATTTGCCTTCCATTGTCTTTCTCTCTCCAACTTTTTCATTTGCCTTTCAATTTGCCTTGCTATTGGATGTAATAATTTTTGAGTTGCCTTGCCATTGCACTTGGTCTAAGAGGCGTTTTGGGGAGAAAGCTGCCACAATGGCAGCTTTCCACCCCCTCCCCGAGGCAAAAACCTCAAAACAAACGGGGCCTTAGTCCCTCATATGGAAAATACATCCTTATTAGCCCTTCAAATAATTGAAGTTGCTCATAAGTCCCCCAAATCCTAAGGGGTTTGAAACAAGGATGACTCCAAGATTGTTCGGCTAGAAGCTCAATGCTTCATAGATGAATGAATAAAGTTAAGCTTGCTATGAATTAAATGCTTCCTTCTATTTTGTTGATCAAAGATTGGTTTCTGTAAATTTGATGATATAGAGGCTTTAGTATAACACAATTTAACTATCCCAACATGTTGAGAAGACTCAATTCAAAAGCTAATTAGTTGACAAAAACTAATTTTAAAGGCAACAAGTTGCGCAGTTTTGATGATTTAGGGTCTCTAAATTTAATTTAATAAATTAAGAAAACTAAATTCCAACTAAATTCCAAATATCCCAACATCAATAATATATCTGGAAAATAATATCTAAATATCTTTTGAAGATTCACATGTCATATTAAAATGGAGGCAGAAATGTGTTACTCTTGGGGGTGTTTGGCAATCTGAAAGTGAATTTAAAATATGTAAGTTACTTTTTTTGCAAATAACTTTTACATACATGTCAGCATGCAAGTGAAATACAGTATTTGTTTAAAAAATTAAATTATTATCGAAAATGCAATGTGAATATGACGTGGCAAAACAAGATTAATTAGAGAGTATAATTAAAATCATTTAATTAAATTAGTTATCTTTTTGTCACTTTCATGTGACTTCACCACTTTTTTAGGGGAAGTCAAAATTGTATTAAATCATATGTGACAACTTTCTTGCATCTCACTTTCATAACCACTTACATGAAAACAAACACCTTAATTGTTAAATGAAAGTAACTTTCTCACTTTCATCTTTCACTTGCATGTAAACAAACACCAAGATTCGTAGAAACGTGAAGGCGAAGAGAGAAACTAGCTTTTCCAAACTAACCTAATTTGATAATAGGTAGAAGAAGTGAGAAATGGCGAGAATAAAATTTTATTTGAGAATTAAAATAGCTAGAAAGAAATTTTATTTGAGAATTAAAATAGCGAGAAAGAAATTTTATTTGAGAATTAAGTTATTACATGAATTCACAAGGAAACTAAAAGGTGTTAAATTAAAAGAGTTTTTTACCCCCAAAAACCAGAAGATTCTTAAGTTTTAATCCTTAAATCTTTAATATTTCGAAATCAGTCCCTCAAATCGTTGAAATTGCTGTCAAGTCTCTCATATTTTATTGGTTATTTCAAATTAGACCCTTTATTAGTTACATTGTCTAGATTGCTTGCTCATAATGAATTAGCTATTAACCAAAAAAATTATGAATTACATGTCTATCCTTAATTAGTCATACTCCCTCCCCTAAAACCGTAGATATACAAATATTTACAGTGAAAATGTGTGGCTTAAATGGGTAAACCCAAGACTCAAGTGTAACATCGGCTAGTCGATTTTGGTAGTGGATTGAGCCAAACAACGCATTACACTCGATGGGTCCCACGGATTGCATGCGCCAATGGGTCCGCGGGCCGGGGGCGTGACAAATAGTATCAGCGCAATTACCAGCCATAAGTGTAAAGTTAAGTGTTATGCGAGGCTAAGTGCTACACCGCGTGAGCACGGGGAAAGCCACCTCTAGAGTCCACATCGCCTGACGATATTGGGATGTGACAATTGTCATGTCACAACGAGGACATCGCTTTATAAGGTGGAGTGATTGTGAGCCCCCAACTTTAGTCCCTTATCGGGAATTTACAGTAAAATTGTGTGGCTTAAATAGGTAAGCTCAAGACTCAAGTGTAACATCGATTAGTTGATTTTGGCAATGAATAGAGCCAAATAACACGTCACACTACGTGAGTCCTGTTAGACCCTAGAGGGGGGGGTGATTAGGGTCTTATGCTAATCTAATCCGATTTTATGCCAATTAAAACTTAATTAACAAGTTATCCTAGCAAGTATGAAATGCAACAATGTATATGAGCTAGGATAAGTAATATGAACAACAATATATATCCTAACAAAGAGATATAGGCAATGTATGTGCAAGGATATATAAACTCAAGGGTAAACAATCTAAACTAGATAGTGGGCAATATAATCAACAAGCAATATACAAAGGCGATATAAGATATGAACATAAAAGTAAGTGCGCCAATGCAATCACAAACAAACAATATGATTACGGAGTTCGGTCCCCACGACCTACGTCTCCGCTCTTCACATCGAGGAGATCTCCACTATCACAACCGGGTTTTCTACGTTCACCCGAACAACGTTTATACCTCACAATACAATCACTATGTAATCACACCTCACACACTAAGTGTTGGTCCTAGCCCGTGTCATCCTCCTCAAGTGCTCGGTTACAACCTCTCCCTAGGCACGTCAACCGACGCTACTCCTCTTGGATTCGACCCCGTCTCTCACCACACACTTCTCTCGGTGTACAAGTGTATTACAAGTGAATCCTCACAATTAGGCACAATATGACAAATGATTATTCTCTCTAAAAAGGTGAGAACTCAATTAAGCACAACTCTTAGTCACAAACCCACAACCCCAAATTATACTATGAATGTAAATACAATAAGCTCAATAGGTTGTGTGTGAACAAAGAGATAAAACAATATAAACTCAATATGAAATCTAGCTTATGAAATTAAGAACAAACTTATAAAATACTAGAATTGAGTTTAAGGAAACTTCTCTATATATGACAAGAGAGAGGGAGAAGAATGAATGCTCAAACACCAAGGATGATCTCCACTTGCTCTTGTGAAATTTGCTCCACAAACCAAACTCTTGTAAATGCTTAAAAGCTTTTTAAACAAATACTAAAAACAAACTTAAACCCTTGATTAAAACTTTCTTAAATTTGTTTTTAAAACTCTCTTGGATATTTTAAAACTGAGGTATAATGGGGTATTTATAGCCTCCCAATACCTCAAACAAAAGCCCAAACCAAAAGACCAAAAAACCCCTCCAACGGATACAAAAAATAGCCGCTATGGGCATTCTGGGAGCTGGGCGGTCGACCGACCCTTTTTTCGGTCGACCGCTCGCACTGTACAAACCTGAAAAAGTTCCAGAGACATTTCCGGTCGACCGGAGTTACTGTAGCAGTGTGCAAATGTTTTATAAAATCAATTTAAAATAGTAAATTAACTCCAAAAATTATGAAATTTTGTGAGAATGTTCTAGACATGTATAATAACATGTCAGAGAAAGAATTTCTGAAAAAGAATTTTCCAGTTGAGAGAAATAAATGTTTGAACACAGAAATACAGTTTCTGAAAATCTGCTGTGATACACGATTTTGTAAAATCAATTAGGCAAAGTAAATCAACTCCAAAAATAGTAAAATTTTGAGAGAAGTTTCTAAACATATAGATAAACATGTAAAAGAAAGAATTTCTTGAATATCACTTCTTATTTATGAAAACTCATCGGTTTTGTAAAAAACATGCACGAACATGCACGAATGAAAACATGATTTTGTAAATTCCATTAAACATAACAAATCAATTCCAAACTTGATGAAACTTTGCGAAATATTTGTAAACATGAAAAAAAACATGTTAGAAAAAGAATTTCTCAATTTGCATTTATAATTTATATATATATATATATATATATATATGAATATGTATTTGTTTCATATTTAAACTTAAAAGCCAAGAACCAAAACTTGTGTATATATATATAACTATATATATAAGAACAAAATATGTGTGTGTATTTATAATTGAGCTTAAAGTATTAACACACATAATATAAAACCTAAACTAAATATACCCAAGCTTGATCTTGATCTTCATTGAGCTCAACTTGGTACACGTGCGGATGAAGATTGAACTTGATCTTTAACTATGAATTGCAAGGCTTCAACCCGACATTCCGCCAACCTCCATTGGATATCATCGTTATGGCGCAATCCATCCATCCTCCAACTACGTTGTTTGTCTACAATACATAGGAAAACACAAATACTAGACAAACAACATTAGTGGTAAATTGTTTGTTAAACATCATCAAAACAAGAAGGCCAACAATCTCCCCCTTTTTGATGATGACAAACAATTTACAAAAAGAAAATATGCATGAAAGAAAATAAACATACAATGTATAATATATCATGCATATAAACAAGAAAGAATATACTCACAATATTTCTCCCCCTTTGACAACATCAAAAAGGGGACAAAAAGAATAAGAGAGCGAAAGCTCCCCCTATCAATAAGCACGGGTGAGCCTGGTTTTGAGAATCCCCTCCTACTCATCATGGGGTATGTATAATAAAATAACTTAACATTTCACATACAAATGCTAAAAATCACTTGATTTTTCCTCTATTAATTAGTTGAACAAACCACCATGAAAACTTGCACATAGTCCACCTGCGACTGATGAACAAACAGAAGTCGCATTGCTGTTTCCGAGTAAAGCAACTGAACTGTAAAAACAGGCCGAACTAACCCCAAAAAGCAATGCAACCGTAGAAACCAACAGAAACCAAATAGCCACAAGCTGGGAGAAATTTTTCCCTAACATCAACAGATAAAATCAATGTACTGCTCATTGTAGTTATCTTCCAGTTAGATAAAGATACATACATAGAATGTTTATAATCCAATTCAAATCCATGAGTCCCATATCATAATCTACCAACAAACTACATATGTACTGCTTATATACTACTGTAGAACGGGCATCTGAAGTTGCAGTTGATGATTCATTCAACTTGCCTTCATATGAACCAAGGCATCATCACTTGCCCTAAGCATAAGCAGAATGGAGAAAATAGAACACCCTAATCCCTAAAACCCTAGCCTAAAGCCTAACCACTGTCTTTACAAGTGACCATAGTTTTCAACAAGGCCGTAATTTCACAAGATGAAACTAGAACCTAGAATCCTGTACAAGGGCAAGAGACGCCCTGAGGCCTGAGCAAACTAATTCCGGCCAAACCTCTGCAAGTGTTTCTCATGCTTTGCTGCAGCCGCTTTGTCTGCAGCCTCACGCTTCAGTGCTCTCTTAGCACGACGACCTGTAGCCTCCTTCGGTGACGACGCCTCTTTCTTCTTAAGACATCGAGATGGACCTGCATCAGAATCACCACCAAAAGATTGACGGTTCGCAGGGCGAGCCTCTTTCCTCCCGGCCCTTACATAACCGTTATCCCCCCACCTTCGGTTACCAATACGGATACTTGACGAGCTGCTGTTAGTAAAATAAAAGGCTTCATCGAGATCATCATCATCATCATCCTCACCCTCGTAATCATACCGGTACAAGTCTAAGTCTTCTAGTTCATCAGATACATCTTCATTGGGTTCTACTGATAGAGGAAGAAACCAAGTAGCTCTCAGGAGAAGGCAAACGCTCTCCTCAAACATGTAGTCGTGAATGCTGCATTATTAAAAAAAAACATTGACATTCAGAAAGCTTGAGAGCACGGGAATCAATCTTATATCAAAAGTAGGAGTCGAGAGATTACCAGCCATCGAGTGAACGATGAACGTTCAGGAAGTTAAATGGATGCTTGCACTGAGGGCAGGAAGGATTCTGCTTGTATGTCGCCCATCTCAGAATACAAGTCACACTGCATTATACAAAATGAAGGTAGGCACATGACAAAGGTGATTTAAGGATAAAATTCAGATGCAAGTCACCTGTAACACAAGTACATCATAATATATACTTGAGCAATATAAACAAAGACAAGATTAACCCTAATTGATAGATCTAAGTTAGGGTTAACTCTCAGCTGCAGATAGACCCCATGCAGTTCTATTGTTGCAGATACACCCCTTATACTATTGCCAAGTTGCAGATAAACCACCTGAGTGAATTTGTTTTACTCTTTTATCTTTGAAGAGACGAAATTTTGTTTTTTGATAAATACACCTCCTGAGAGTCTATCCGCCACAATAGAACTACAGCGGGTCTATATGCAACTGGGTGATGGTACAGGGTATATCCTCAATTATTCCTTTAAGTTTTTGTGTAGGGTAATGTACTTTTGTACTAGAACATCTTATATTGGGACATAACAAACTCAGTTCAAAGACCAATGACCCTTCCACGAATGGCACTGTGATCAAAATTCATGTTTCCATATACTAAACTAATAATAATTATTGACTACTGAACTACTCAAGAGGGACCAAGTCGAACACCATAATTCACAGCGATGCAGCCCACATTCCAATTTCTAATAGTCAGAGTAGTAGAAACTATAATTATATTAGCAACATTTACTTCTCAGACATCAGAAGCAACCATACTCAGAGCCATTACCACTTCCCCGAAAGTGCAAGCAACCAAAATCAAAGCGCTAATTGCTTCCACATTGCCATAAAAGAAGGAAGAGGATAGAAATATGAATATAGCTGATGAAGGATTCTATTTCCACTTTCATCTACCTCTCTTTCTACTTCATATGCTCAGGATCATATCCAAATTTTTTCTCCACCCTACACATTTGGGATTCATTTTTCTTGGTTCATATAAGTACAAATCAACATGTAGAAAGACAGATATCCATTGATGCAAATACAATTTCCTGTTTAATTTTCATATAGGAGCAATATGTGATAAGTGATTATTGAGCATCAAGAATGGTCCATCCGAGAGCAGCAGCTACCTCATATTGTGGTTTTCACACAAAAGTTAAAAAGTTATAGTCACAATGAGAACAAGAGAGAGAATAAATTTTGATGCCCTCTTAGAGAACATTATTTCCATTCACCAACTCATTGGGTGGTAATTAGGGGTGCCAAACCGTATCCGTATCCGAGGAAATATCCGTAACCGTATCCGTTAGGATACGAATATGGTTACTCAAATCTATAACCGATAGGATATGGTTACGGATATGGTTTTGTAGTGAAATATCCGTATCCGTATCCGAAAATATCCGAATACATATTGGTCATACTCTTACGATAGTTTCGATTCTTAGATTATGAATTTGTGGTTAATTTTGATGATCAAGATGTCTAATCTTAGTTTTTCAATCATAATGAATATATTAACGAACTCTTTTTGTATCACATGACTATATTTTTCTGAATACTATCTAGTTTTCTCATATACTTTTTGTATCTGCATGCATATCCGTTTATATATCCGCATCTATATCCGTAACCGTATCCGATTTTGGCGGATATGGATATGAATTTTTCTTACCGACGTATATTCGTATCCGTATCCGTATCCGTATCCGAGATGGGTAAATGGATATGGATATGATAAGTGCTATACCGGAGCCGTATCCGCTTCGTTAACACCCCTAGTGGTAATTTATAGTTCACCTTCCCAAGGTAGAAAATAAGGTCTTGTACATGCAATGTGAAAAGGATAAGTGTTATTTTACACCTAGCCAAGACATGCAAATGTAAGAATCGAATTCTGTTTGTTTTCATGAGTCAAACAACTTTCAAATCACAAGTCTTAGTTTCTTGGGGTTTGATGGAACACTATTTCCATGAAAATTTCAAGTTTTCACCAGGTTGTGGGTTTGGAAAATGCACCTAAAGTTCATCATTTCTTTTAGCAATCGGCCGGGCCCGGGCTCCGGGCTTTTTGGACACCCCTAGACGTAGCCTATGAAATTGGGCTCTGATAATAAAGAAATATGATCCAATAGTTCTTTGGAGCAAGCAGTAGATGAGAAATTATCAACAGATTCGGGGGAAAGAAAAGATAGTCACATATATTCATATACTTTTTTCTGTTAGCATTTACACTTTCTAAGACTCAGACAACATACTCTTTTACCCTATATTTAAAGGGAAATTTTTAAAAAAATTCAAGTAAAATTGAGGGCGAAAAATATTGTATCGTCGCATTATTCTCGGATAACATATAAACCAAACGGGAGTGATATCATATGGGATTCATAGTGTTCTAAGTGCTAGTAAATAAAACAATGATCGAAATACTACCTCCTAGCGGAGAAGGTGTATCTAAAATTAATAATTTGAGGATTTAACCGTATTTTCATCTTTAACCTGTCAATTTAAAAAGATTATATAAATGAAGTGTCTAGAGTAGGAATCATGTTTCGGTAACACTAATCACCTTTTCTACTTTATTAACACTTAACACCCCTAAAATCGATCATGAAAGAGAGGTAGGGGTGCTAAACGTATCCGTATCCGAGGAAATATCTGTAGCCGTATCCGTTAGGATACGAATATGGTTACTCAAATCTATAACCGATAGGATATGGTTACGGATATGGTTTTGTAGTGAAATATCCGTATCCGTATCCGAAAATATCCGAATACATATTGGTCATACTCTTACGATAGTTTCGATTCTTAGATTATGAATTTGTGGTTAATTTTGATGATCAAGATGTCTAATCTTAGTTTTTCAATCATAATGAATATATTAACGAACTCTTTTTGTATCACATGACTATATTTTTCTGAATACTATCTAGTTTTCTCATATACTTTTTGTATCTGCATGCATATCCGTTTATATATCCGCATCTATATCCGTAACCGTATCCGATTTTGGCGGATATGGATATGAATTTTTCTTACCGACGTATATTCGTATCCGTATCCGTATCCGTATCCGAGATGGGTAAATGGATATGGATATGATAAGTGCTATATCCGAGCCGTATCCGCTTCGTTAACACCCCTAGTGGTAATTTATAGTTCACCTTCCCAAGGTAGAAAATAAGGTCTTGTACATGCAATGTGAAAAGGATAAGTGTTATTTTACACCTAGCCAAGACATGCAAATGTAAGAATCGAATTCTGTTTGTTTTCATGAGTCAAACAACTTTCAAATCACAAGTCTTAGTTTCTTGGGGTTTGATGGAACACTATTTCCATGAAAATTTCAAGTTTTCACCAGGTTGTGGGTTTGGAAAATGCACCTAAAGTTCATCATTTCTTTTAGCAATCACTAGCTACAGAATAACCACCAATTATCCTCATCACTGATGCCCACCTGCATCATTTACACAACTCAAAGAACCCAAAAAGTTGATTCCCTTCATTGATTTACAGCAGTTCACAAAAAGAAGCAAACTAACAAAAACAGGGGTATATTAGGCCCCAACTACAGATCCAGACATGCTAACAATTATAGAAACGAAGAAAACAAAGCAAAGAACCCAAATACATCTTTATTTCATCAAACACTAGCCCAACTCAAGAAAACCCATTGCAATTAAGATCAGTTTCACTAACTACTGAAACTATAAAGGGAGGAGAATATCTACTACACAAGAGTAAGATTGCTAGAACTAAGACAACAACAACTACCCAAAGGAAATGAAGTACTACAAAGAGGTTAGTTTACTAAGTAGAGGCATCCAACAGAAGGGGACCCATTATTGAGATCAAAACTAATTTTTAATAGATGGAAACTCAAAAGAGAAAATATAAGGAGAAATGAAAGAGGCTGCCAATTTTTATGATAAACTAAAAAAAAATAACAAGGACATGTTTGGCAAGCATATTTTGTGAAACCTTATAAGTAAATTTCCTTTCAAGAGGGAAAAATAGTCTTTCGCCAAACAATAAGAAAATCTTCTTATGAGGCTAAAAAATAAGTTGAAAAAAATCCCAACTTATTATTTTTCTACTTATAAGGATACATAAGGGAGAACACACTTAGAATAAGTGAGTTCCCAAACACGCTGTTAGCAGAGAGATCCAAGAGGAAAGGATTGCAAAAATGAGATCAAAACATACCTTTAATAGATGAGGAACCCAACAGAGAAAATGAAATATATAAGAGGTGACTTAACTTTTTCATCATAAATGATAAAACAACTTCTCACAGATAGCTTTTATAGAGTTGGAGAGAGGAAAATGGGTTGTGTTTCGTAGAGTGGATAGGATGTGTGCATTAACTGCTCCACACACCAAACTCAATGTTGTCTTCAGGTCAAAATTGAGATGCATCGATGGCGGTCATGTCAACAATGATAGAGTTGGGGAAAGTAGAAGAGAGAATGATGAAGCTTGGGAGATGACATCGCGGACATTGGTGGGATAGCCAACGATGAGGAAGGCAACAGAGCAGGCGATGGCGATAAGGAGTTGGCATAGTAGTCTTCATGGGAGGGTGATCCTCGGATATAATTGTTCTGATGTTATGTTAACAATATAATCTCAAACTATTCCAAGAGTCTTCATTGTCAAAGCAATAACAATCTGCAGTACACTTACTTAGGTACATAGAAATGATCCTACTCATTCATCACTCTCCCCAAGAAACCTCCTGATCTGATCAAGAAACCAAGGTTATGGAAAGCAAAAAGTATAGCAAAGCGGCAAGGCACCACTAAGGATATTGGGGGCTTTAGCAGCAAAAAATGCAAAATCAAAAAGCGGTTAAGTTTAAATATGTATAAAGTATTCAAAAAATAGGAAAATTCAAGAAAAATCTAAAAATTCTACAAATGCATATTTGATGATTTATAGAGATCCTAAGCATGAAAAATACATGTAAAAATCACACAATATTAACAAAGTACTATACATAATGAGCATAGAGCTTCGAGGAGGTGGCAGTACTTTGGAGAGAGGAGGGGGAGGTGGAGTTAGGGGAGACAGAGAAGTCTCACGAGGAACAGAAAGGTGTAACGTAGACAACGAGAGGAAGTGGAGTTTTGACAATGAGAGGATGATGAGAGGCGGTGGAGCTTCACCATGAGAGGTGGTGGTGGAGGTTCAACAATCTTTGTTCTTCAATAATGAGAGGTTGACGACGATTTTGGGTTAGGTTTTTTATTTTATTTTTTTGGCTTGAACAGTGAAAAGAGAGGGAATTTGGAAAAGAATTTAGGTTTGGGTTAGGTACAAAAAACCCATTTACTTAAGAATTTGGGTTGGGTTTGGTTCGTGTACAAACCCAATATTTTGTATTTAAAAGCGTTGTATAATGTTGTAAAGCGATTTTATGCACCATTGGCCTCTTCTTATAGCTAACAGTGCCGATGCCGCTAAAAATCATCGATTTCAACCATAGCAGTGCTAGCACAGGCCGCTACCGCTACTACGACTACTATTTGCCGCTATTTACAACACTGTAAGAAACCCCTCCCACTTCTCTCCTCCTTCCTCACATACTCCATCGCTTCCACCGCAGTATACTCAATTATCTCCTCTAGTCCAACCCTCCTCCACAACTTCTCTCACCCCTTCCCTCGTAAAAAAACAAAGTACATATTTGGAAACAAGGAAGGGAAGCAAGGAGTAGCGGCGTTGGATCTTGAAGAGGATGAAGTGGTAGCTAGAGATAAGAAGCTGGCCATTGACAGTGTATTTGACTAATTTATTAAAGAGTGTGAGGACAAAGAAAGGGAAACAATAGGGACTGGAGGGAGATTGCCAAAAAAATTTATCTTTTCATACTTTATCTCGCCAAAAAAATTTATCTTTTCATACTTTATCTCTCTGCACTACTTAAAAAAGGTAGATTGACACTGCCAAAAAAATTTATCTTTTCATTCTTATCTCTCTGCAAACTGCACTACTTGAAATAAATAGACTTCACTCAAGTTTCAAATCACATTCAATTTCATAGGCACTCCTTCAACTTTCAAAGGCGGCCCTTTCAAATTCCAACATTATTTCTTTTTACTTCCAAAGTATCAAAATTTTGAAACCATAAGCACTAGTTTTGGGGGTTTGATGAAACGTTATTCCTAGTTGTGATTTGGCAAACACTGAAATCCATCACTCCATCCTAACTCTGTATCTCATCACATACAAGCATGCACCGACATCAATCCGCACCAAGTCTAACCCATATCATACAAAAACAAAAGAAACCACTTTTACTTCCGGGCACCCAATTGCATAAAGCCATGATCATAACCTAAATCCTAATAAGAAAACCCTCACCAAAAATCACATGATAGTCTAGTGCAAAAATAATTCTTTCGGAAGAATATGACCAAGCCCGCCCTCACATGTACAAATCCTCCATAAAAATCATACTCCTCTTAAAAGTACGAGTTTGGGAAACTCTTTTCATGGTTAATATTACACTTAACTTATTTGTGAATATTACATTGTTATCCTAATCTATTCTAATTATCCTATCTTTTTTGAATTGATAATTAAATGATTTATCCTATTCATAGTGAGACTTAACATGTTATTGGTGAAAAGGAGATATGTTTGATATAATTTAAATACTTTACTTATTTCAATATGCAAACGATCTAAAAAATATATGCTAGACAACACTTAAAAGTTTTTAAACTTTGTAAGAAATATCCTCCAAGTTTTTTAAATTGTAAAAACACCCCTACAAATTCAAATTTTATTAAAACATCTTAAAAATTACAAAATTTACTTATTTCAATTCAGTGAGAAATATGAATAACATATGCTGGCTAAAAATTGAAAACTGAAAGTTTTTAACTTTGAAGAAAGTATCTTGTAAGTTTTGAAAAATGCAAAAACACCCCTAAAATTTAAAATTTGTAAAAAACATCTTGGTAATTTCAAACCTATAAACACACTAAAAACTTACAAATAACACAAACAACCCCCCAAAATTTATGGAATTTACAATAAATACTTTAAACTTTTTACAAATTTTAATACGTTTGATTGATTGACTATATAGGTATATAGACTATAGATTACTTTCTTGCATGAACTAATATTTGACGCTTAATAATTTTAATAATTAATTTTAAATTTAATATAAAGAGGAGCTCTAATTACATTTATTTATTTTTCTTTAGGATAATACAATTTTAATTCATATTTTATGCTTGAGATTTATTCCATAGTTTCGCGTATCAAATTAGTAACTAAAATAATAATTATTTGTGCTTAAATTAGGATGATTGTAGTTGATCACTTACTATAAATTTTTTATGAAGATACAGATCTTACTTTCTATAGCTATCTGCACTGCCCATATATATTTTATAAATTATTTGTTAATTTTACATATTAAATTATTTTTTCTTTGTAGAAATTTCTTCTTTAACTTTTGGATTGTGTAATCACTATATCACTATTCTAGCATAGAAATGACCTCACTCTATATGGCTTCAAGCCAATGTTTGAGTTGAACTGAAGTATATATTATTGCTACTATGTGTATATTTTTTTTAAGAAAATTATGTCAACACTTTTTAAACAGAAGAGAATATTTTGCATATAAAAGAGGACTTTTGATTTTCAATTTTGCCCATTTTAAGTTAGATAATTTTCAAATGTGTCATTAGTTGTAATCAATCACTCACTAATTATATATAACCTCTTATTAATTATATATTTTCTCACTTTTTCAATTATTTGATTTGTTATCTAATAGAAAATTTATAATTTATCTTCACATAATACTGAAAATTCTAGAAAAATTAAAAATAATAACAATTCATTAGGCTTACACCTTATGCCTTTAGGTTTCACCTCTTATGGATAACTACTTTTACCTTTTATCTTATTAACCTTTTAAAAGTATGATAATAGTATGAAAAATAATTTGTATTTATTGTAATTATAATAGTATTAATAGTATAATGATTTTGATAGTATTTTTAAATTAATAAGTTATACTAAAATTTAATATACACAATGCCGTAAATTATTTACTAATATTGTAATAAACTAATTATGAAATTAAAAAGTAGTTACTAATAGTACTATAATTATGCTATGTATAATATTATTATATTTAAAAAAAAGAAATTATGTAATATATTATAATTATTTTAATAAATTGTGAATAAATTATAACAACTATCCAAACGATAATAATTAATCATATAATTCTTCATATACAGTTTCAATTTATTTATTTAAACAAAATTATAATTTTTCAAAATTTAGATTGCTATACAGGTCATTTCATTAATTTGCAGCGAACAAAAAAATTTTTAAAAACATGAAACAGAACAAGTATGCTCTCGTGCAAAACACGTGCACTATACTAGTAGTATAAATACACGAATACTAGGCCAATGCTAACCATAAAACTCCAATCTTTTACCCAATAACTTAACAGAACAACCAAAACAGAATGAGATAAGTTTTAAAACAAACCAGTAGGCGTGCTCGCAACCTTTTACAAGGGCGGCCTCCTGAATCAAGATCCTCTCCAAGCAGATAGCACAGACTCCATACCCCTCCGCCATTATTCCCTCTCCCTCGACCTCAACCTTCTTCTCTCCATCACCGACCTACAACAATTCCAACAAAACCCAGTCAACCAAATCCCTAAATTCAAATAGGGGCTCTTTTTTTACATATATACCACCAAATAAACAACAACTACAAATTTACCCCAAATCTAGACGCTTTCTAATTTACCCATAAAAATTAAGATGGGATAAATCCCCAAGAGATTAGGATCTGAATGAGATCAAATCGATCCAACCAAGACTCAACCAAGAAATGAATGGATAAATCAAAGATTCACCTCTGCATCTAAATGAGGAGGAGCGAGACCGATCGCGGCTGAGGCCTCCATTAGGGCTTGCGCTTAGATTAGGCAGGATCGGGAAGAAGATAAAGAGGAGGCAGGAGAAAGAAAGAGATTAGGAGAGAGAGAGAGAGAGAGAGGGAGAGAGAGAGAGAGAGAGAGAGAGAGAGAGAGAGAGAGAGAGAGAGAGGAAGAGGAGGGAGAAAGTTTTACTCTTTTCGCTCGCTCATCAAACGAGGGGCAACGAGAGGGAGCCGAAGAGGCACGGGGTATTTTCAGGGGAGAATATGATGCGCCGTTCATATGCGAATATATATAAACACACGCCGGTTAATTAAAGTTAAACTCTGAATGGAGAAATGGGGTCTAGATACAAGGGTGTGCCCTGTGATGAGAAAAGGGCGTGTAAATATAACATTCGCGTCGTTGCATGCTCTTTCAATTTATTTATGTTTTCAGGGAATTAAAAATTAGAAAAAGGGCACATGGCTGTGGTCAGGGAATTAAAAATTAGAAAAAGGGCTGAAGGAGATAAATTCGGGCGGGTGGATGGATTACATGCGCGCTGGTCTGCATGTGTCCTAGCTTATTTGGAAAGAGATTCGCTACTCGCCGTATAAATATTATAATAATCAAATATTAAATAGATTGATGATTTGATAATTTTTTAAAGATTAAATTGCAAAAAATATCATAAAGTTTCTCCTTTTAACAATTATAAATATCACAAGTTTCATTTTGATATAAAGAATATCATAAAGTTTTTAAAACTCGCAAGCTGCTATAATCAATCATGCAAATGTCAAAACTTCTATCGTAACGTTTCTCTATGTTGCTTACGTGGTAACTTTACAGCTTTTTAAGTAATAATATTTCTTAAATTTGTTGTTAAATCAATCAAATTTTTGACTCCCAAGACGTGATCAACAAGTCAAAACCTTCCAAATTAACTTTTTAATGCTTCTAACTCCTAAACTTAGTGTCATCTAAGCAACATATTTCCAGTGCTCACTATACCCCTAATAAATGCCTTATGTGTGTGCTTCCCCCCTCCACCCCCCCCCCCCCCCCCCCCCCCCGCCCCCCCCCCCCTCTCTCTCCTTTTCTCCTCATCATCATCTCCCTTCTTTCTTTTCTTTTCTCTCTCTCACTCTAAGGCCATCATCAACAAGCCCTCATCCCTCTCTTCCCTTGTCCTCTTGTTACTCCATGGCCGATACCAACAACCTTCTCTTTGTTGGGGAATTTCACTCTCCCTGCCTACTACAATATGCACAACTCCGAAGCCAACTCACAATCAACAAGATATAAAACGACCACAATCAAGAAAAACGAACACCGGGATTTACGTGGTTCGGTCAACCAACTTCGACCTACATCCACGAGACAACAACACGAGAAATTCACTATGTATCAGGGAGAACTACAAGAGGAATCACTCAACTCTCGTCTTGCATTCTCTCAACCTCACATACATAATCAACTCTCATATTCTATCAAAAGTCCACTCCTTGTAATATTTTGCACGGATAAAGATCACGAAACTCTCGCCTCTTGCACAATATTCTTGAATCAGGCTACGTCCTCTGCTAACCCTAGATTACAAGAATATTATCTCTCTCTCTACTACATCTTCTCTCTACTCTCTTCTTAGTTTTTCCTCTAACAATAGAAGAATATATATAGGGAAATCAAAACCCTATCTCTAGCCTACCTTCCTAATTAGAATAGGATTCAAATTCCTAATCATGATGGAACCCAAAATCCTAATCATGATGGATCTCTAACCCTATCTAATTCTCATAAAGTCCTACAGAGAATCGAAGACACAATTCCAACAATCTCCACATTGGATTTGATTCTCAAATTCCCTTGAAGATATATCATCGTCGTCTTGAAACTTTGCCTCTCCTGTTAGAGTCTTCTATTTCTTTCGCACTTTAAATCGAAGTAGCTGTTGACCCTATAGTTTTGATGATGATTTGGCAAACAATTTATTACTAATAAGTTCTCTAGTGTTTTGTGTTTATGTTCTCTTTTCAGGTATTTCAACACACGTCAATCAAGCGTTAAAGATTCAAGTTCATTTGTGTGGATTTACCTAGGTATAAGTTTAGTTTACTTACATATATTGTATGATTATATCTAAGCTCAATATATGTACACTTAACACGTTTTTTGACGTTTTCTATCATATAAATGATTTTTCATCAAACGTTGTTACAATAACTTTTATCTTATGTTTACAGCTCTTTCGTACTTCATTATATACATATAATACATGCACAATAGATATATACATATTTACAAGTTCTATATCAACTTTCACTTTCATAAAAAAAAACAGGTTTTCTAAGCATTTTTCAAAAACAGGTAGTTTTCACAAACGAAAATTGTTTTTCCAAAAATTCCTTTTTAAACATGTTTATTTTATCATTTAGAAACTTTTTCCAAAGTTTCACTATTTTTGGATGTGATTTAATATTTTTAACGAATTTTCAAAACTGCCCCAAAACCTGTCAGTTTGCCTATATCAGTTTTCGGTCGACCGATCCGGTCGACCGACAGTGGTTTGTTGAGCTCATACTCGCGGTCGACCGCCCCGGTCGACCGAGAGAATTTCCGGTCGACCGAAAATCCCGTCGGTCGACCGCCAGCTCTAAACCCTCATTATCTGAGTTTTTGAGCTTAGCGGTCGACCGGACCGGTCGACCGCCGAGGTGTCAGAACCCTTGTAACGGCTAGTTTTTCTATCTATTTTCAAACTGGTTTTTTGGTCTTTTACTCATATTTTGCTGTTGTATTGGGGTGCTATAAATACCCCACTGCTGTGTTTCCTCTCAACAACTAATAAATCCAAGTTTGGTGGTTTACAAAATATTAAGTGTGTTTAAGAGCTGTTTAATAGTTGATTTCATCAATCAGTTTTTCAAAGAGGAGTTTTTTCTACAACAAGAAGTGGCATTCAATCCTATTGGAATCATCTCTACAGTTCTTCTTGTTTGAGAAGTCTTCTAAACTCTTTTATAGCTTATTATTTCTCTTTTATTTCATTTAGCTATATATATTGAGTTTCATTCACTGTTATCACACACACTTATTGAGCTTAATATTTTCATATCATATAGTGTGGGTTGTGGGGTGTGATTTAGTGAGTGTGAGCTTCATTGTGTTCTCACTTGTTATTTGAGAACAAATCATTGTATTTATCTTTTATTTGTGAGAATCACTTGTAATACACTTGTACACCGAGAGAAGTGTGAGGCGAGACACGGGGTCAAATCCAATAGGAGTGGCGTCGAATGACGAACCTAGGGAGAGGTTATAATCGAGCACTTGAGGAGGAGGACACGGGGTAGGTTCCTACACTTAGTGTGTAAAGTGTGATTGCATAGTGTTTGTGTAGTGTGAGAGTTTTCGGTGATCTTGTAAACCGAGAGTGTAGAAGTTCCGGCTTCCAAACCGGATTGTGATAGTGGATATCTCCTCGAGGTGAGGAGCGAGGACGTAGGTAATGGTGACCGAACCTCGTAAACATATTGTGTGTTTGTGTTTTGCTTAGCGTATTCTTATTCATCTTTATTGTTCATATTCATATCTTGCAAGATCAAATTAATCAATATAATTTTAATTAGCTTTTAATTGGGTTGTTCCCATTTTGGAAAAATCCAAATGGTGTGAGAATGATAAAAGATTATTTAACATGAATAAGCTTTTGTTAGAATATTTGATTAGCGCTTTTCACTCATCGTTTTCTAACAAATTTGCTAATTTTGATAGTGTTTACGCTTTATAGAAACTTATTGAAGCACATGAAGGGAAATTGGAGGCTATTCAACAAGAGTTGGAAAATCCCGCTTTAAGTTCCAAGGAAGCCTCATCCCCATGTACAATACCACTAGGTGATAACCCTAGTGAGGTATGCGATAACGATGATATTATTACTTTTGATGAACTTGCTCTTGAGTTTGAAAAATTACACAATTGCTATATTGATGTAAAGAGTAAGTATGTTAATATGAAATCCACTCATGAAACACTAGCTACTAAGTTTAATTTTATTGCAAATGAAAATATAATTCTTAAAGAATGCAATGAAAATTTGAAAATTGAAAATGCTAGTTTGCTTCATGAAAAACGTGATGCTATGTTAGAAGTAGATAAGTTGAAATCTATGATGAGTAATCTTGTTTATCCTACTTCTAGTAGCAATGCTTGTATGCACAATGATGAGTTGAATCAAATGAGAAAAAGAATATCTACCTTAGATTCAACACTAAACACTTGTATTGCTAATAATAAAAAGCTTATGGACTTATGTGCAAAGTTCAATGTTAATTCTTCTAAGAAACCTATTCATTATGCACATATGTATGACAAAATTCACAAATGTTCTATTTGGGGTCTTAAAGGCCATTTAGCTCAATTTTGTCATAATGCACCAAAAATTGATAAGCCTATTCATGATTGTGCATCTCATCAAGCTTCCTCATCACATACACATGTACACACATATAGTGTAAATCATAAACATACTCATGTGTATAAATGTGATTATTGTGGTCGTTTTGGTCATTTGGCCATGTTTTGTTTCGATTTGAAAAGAAACTCTCGTTTGCAAAATAATTACAAAGGAAAATCTATTTTTGCAAATGAAAAACGTGCATTCCATTTCGGTCAACGTAAACATTTCCAACCTCTACATTGCACAAATTGCAATCGTATGGGTCACGTTTACAATTTTTGCTTTGATCGTATCGGTGCACAAAATACGCCCAAACGGGTTCATAACCCTAGGGCCTTGAATTTAAATGATAGGGGTCATGTCCCAAGTTCTAGTGGTACCAAAATGATTTGGGTACCATAATAATTTTTATATTTTTTTTGTTTTGCCTTTTTGGTTTGTTTTGTTCTTATTTTGAATAATTAGTTTTTTGAGCTTTTAATGACAAATTGTATTCCTTATGCTAAAAATAAATTATTTGTTTGTTTTTATAATAAAAAACACTTACATATATCTTATAAAACTTTTAGTATATCATAAAACATATTTCCAAAAGGTCTAAATTATAAAAACTCTCAAAACAATTTTTCTAAATCACCTGTCTTTTTCATTTTCTCGCGGTCGACCGACGGTCTTTCTGTAATCGTTTCGGTCGACCGCGTCGGTCGACCGACAGGAATTTACTGCAGCAGCTTTGTGTTTTTATCGGGTTTCGGTTTTTGTTACTGGGTATTTGTTTGGGACCCGAATTCTTAATCACCGTTGAATCCATCATACACTC